GAGGTAACTGAGCATGCTGATTACAAATATAATATTCACATGGCCGGGCGGAGCCGGGTTTGCCAGCTAGTTCTCCTATAATTGCATGTATTCGCTTTTTCCATTCAACTGAGTGGTTTTGCCTTCTGCCGCATTTATTTTTCCACTTATGCATTTTGAAATAGATGTGGCTTCCATTAAAGACTTTTTGTTTCAAGATACGTGTTCGATGCTTCAAAGGCGAAAACATCGGTGACTGAAAACTCCTTCCTTTTTGGAAAAGTTGAAGATTTCCGTCCAACTCAGAGCAAGGTAAGCAACTAAAAGACAAGTGACTTAAATTCTCGTGTTTGATATTACCCTTCTTTGTTCGCAGATCGCCACTACAGATACTGTTGTTACATCTTTTTCTGTGAAAAAATCCAAGCCTCGTGATGAGGTTTGTTTGAACACATTTCAAAAAGATTGTGCATAAATTTGAGTCTTAATCATGATTTGGCAGAGAGATGTCAAATCGAGAACAAAAACGTCGAGTAAATCAAGAAGACCTATTATTGGATTGACGGTCCCATTAAACAAACCTACCTTGAACCTTCTGGCCACTCCAAAAGGGATGGCTCCACCTCGTGGTCAGTTCATTCTCGCAAAAGTATAATGACATTCTCTCTAGTAAACATTTTTAGCTCGCGAAAAGGTAACCTACACACCCCGACGTGGAGCACTTGGAGCTTTCGTAGACACCACAAAGTTGTCCGATCGCGAATATGAAATTGCTGTTGCTAATGGGCTGATAAAGGGCAGAACCAGGTGGTACAGTACTTTTTTAAGCTCAAGATGTTACCTCGAAGAAAGCTGCATTTTCAGAGCATCTGCGCCTACAGACACTCGGAAATCTCGCCGAGAAGAAATTTTGGATCTAAAAAGAAAGCTTAAAATTTGACTATTTTTTCCCACGTATATTGTATATACATATGCTTAGTTCCGCTTCCTATTACTTACAAACGCCCAATCCTATACATGTACTACTTATCCTGACAAAGCATGGTTTTTGTAATGAAATTTGGAAATCATCTGGCATGAAAGTAGCGCTTTTATACTAACATTTTTGACTATGAAATAGTGTGTAGATTATGGATTATACTGGAATGAATGTCTGAGATGTGCAAATGTCGTTCTTTGCTGTTTTAATGATACATGGTTGACTAAACCTTTGTATGCTTCAAAGCAGATAGCTGCCAGCGCGCTTGGTGAGTTGAGCCCATTGAAGACAAAACTAAAACAAAACTAAAACTAAAACACCGCATGAGTTCAATCTCAGATAACCTATTGCAATCATGCTATTCGATGCTGCCTAGCATCACCACTAACAGCATCTGCGCTCTGCCTGAGCCC